TAAAATATACTCCGTAGCAATTATCTTCAAAATAAGATTTTCATAACTATAAGTTCGACTAGCGTATTAGTGTCATAACTATTTTGGTTCTAAAAATTATTAACAAGGTAACGACACGAACAACATATTGGTAAGCATATCTACTATTTAGAGATTGTTCTTTAGGATTGGAAATAAAGAATTGGTGATAGAAAAAACTGGAAGAAATAGACAAAAAATTGAAGAAACTGGAAAAAACTAGAAGGTACTTCAAAAATTTATTTAAGTCCCCATTTGATACATGCAATTCAAAACATGAAATTAGAATTGAGAACAGTAATTTCAATGTTGCTATTTGGTACTCTCAAACTCGGTGTTTTCTCAAATTGATAAATTTTTGAAATAATATATATTAAATATGAAAAAATATTTTAAATTTTATAGGATGACAATATAATACTAAAAATTAGAGATATAATTTTATTAATTTGAAATTAAAAATTTTAGATTATTTAAAATTATTTAGAATAATATTGTGTAAATAAAATGTTAAATAAATATTAAAGAAATCACCATAAATAGGAGTAAAACATAGAGAAAGAACTTCTATTTTGGTACTTTTTTATATTTTATTCCTATTTTGGGTGATTTCTTTAACGTTTACTCCCTCCGTCCCGGAGTATTTGTCCAGTTTTGACTTTTGGAACTGTTCAACCAAGCACTTTGACTCATCAATTCTCTCAATGTGTAAGCCTAAATATAGTCATGCGTGATCTTGTTTGATTTGTCTTAACATATAGAATATTAATATATAATTTCTATAATTTTTTAATATACAAATTACAAGATAAAATGGATTAAAGAAGTGTATTGGATGGTGTGTAAAAATGAAAGTGGACAAATACTCTGGGACGGAGGTAGTAATTTATTTAACATTTTATTTACATGATATTCATCTAAATAATTGTAAATAATCTAAAACGTTTGCTTTTGTAATTAATGTATTTTTATTTCGAAAATGGACTAATTTGAGAAAACATTCAGTTTGAGAGTACCATTTTGGGAAAATAATATAAGGTTTAAAATCATTTTAACGGCCATTAGTCGGGAGGACTAAATTGAGCATTATTATCAATTAACAAGTACCATCTCTAAAATTATTTAATTTTCGGGACTAATTTGGGAAAATACATAGTTATTGAGTACCATTTTGGGAATTTACTCTTATTGCTATTATTCTTAACATTTTTATTGTTATTATTATTATTGTTATTGTTATTGTTATTATTATCATCACCATCATCTCATCATCATAGGTCAAAAAGTAAATAAAATTTGACAATGCAAATTGTGTGCATGCCATATAATTAGGAACACACGGAGTAGTATAATTACAGGTCAATTTAGATCAATCAAATATCCCTAATTAGTGCCGTATAAATTAATGAGAAATGATTTTCCCAATAAAAGTGTACTCCGTATTTTTTATATTAAAAATGGAAGAAAAAATAATAGTTCGTACCTTATGTGAATCACAAAAATAATGACATGCGAAAAATAAAAAGTGAAAATTTTAAAAATAGATTATTTTTATGGACGTATCAATAATAATAATAATAATACATGAAAACATGAAATTTTTATTGTAATTAGTTTAGGAGTAGATAAGGTTGAAAAAATGAGAATAGTTGAAACAACTTGAATAAACTAAGGCTCGGTTTGGTACACGGAATTCAGATATGAAATTGAAATCAGAGACAACAATTCCAATTCCGTTGTTTGGTAGCACACAAATATGAGGATTTGTAATTGGCAGTGCCAAAAATGAATTAGAATTGGAAAGTTCAATTCCATCCCAACCAATTCCATAAAATTTCAACTCTCAATTCAATTTCAATTCCGTCAATTTCATGTACTAAACATGCCCTAAAAGAAATTGGAAAAACTAAAAGAAACAAAAAGAAACTAAAAGTTAAAAGTTTATTAAACTCTAAAATATATACTTTTAATATGTTTTTATATTAATGTTTTTATATTGATGTTTTTATATTAATGTATGTACTCCGGACTCCGGAGTGGTTGGCTTAAATACGAAAGAAATCATCCCAAATAGTAGTAAAACTTAAGTCATATCCTTAAAATAGGAGCTCAAGCTTAAACTTCTTTAAATAGGAGTAATTAATCAATTTTAGTTTTTATTTACCCTTGTCGCACAATCATTTCCGATTGAAGCACGTCTCCCTTCCTCGATTGCATCGATAACACGCGCTCCGTCTCCGGTCTCCTTCCGTCATCGCCACTGCCACCTGCGCACATGTCATCTTTGTTGCGCTGCCATCGCCACCACCTTCAAAGATTCGCCACCCAATTGAAGCACTCAACACCGATTTGCCACCGTCAATCCCCTTCCTCAATCCATTTAATTGTATTGTCGTCACCAAATTGCAGCGCTATAGCCGCCGCCATGCACCCCCCACTCTCAGATTTGTCATCACGCCTATGCCACGCCGCCTATCTCCATCTGTCTCCCTCAAAGTCTTTGATTTTAAAAGTTAGTGGGTTCTCTCTCGATCTTTAATCAAATTTTATTTTATTTGAATTTTATTTAGATGTTTAGATTTTGTGTCAGCACAACAACGATCCACCACTAATGAGGACGGTGGGTCATCTAGCCGCCATTATGGTGGTCGTAAATACGGTGATGATTGCCAGTAGTCGTGTAGGGCATTGTGGTGGGTTTGACATCATGCCTTTGTGTGACATTCTACATTTTGCATTGTGACACTATACATTACCATATGTGCTAATATGCATTGTAACACTCTAATCCGTCCAGGTCTACAGCTCATTTCGGACTAAAGTATAAACTTGGTATTCACAAACATTGAAAAACATTTCAAACATTTTAAAACTTTATTTCATAAAAAATTATTCAGAATAATAACAGAGTATTTAAAGTTGCAGAAGCTTAAGAAATAACAATTACAAACATAATAAATTTATTATGTCTTTTAGAACAGTAATTCAGATTCACACATATATCCCGACCATCTCACCCCATCTGCCTCTAGGAATTCATCACTTAATTCTTTTTATTTTCCTGCGTGTAGCATATAAAATATACTACACGCTCATCGTTGAAGCTGAATAACGATATCTAATGAGTCGAACATCCATATAAATTGAATCTCAATTCATAATCAAATCATTTGATATCATGCACACAATGTTCAGTTCAGACATTCAATAATCAATATTCAATATTCAGTTTTCAACACTCATATGCATATTCAACATTCATCAACAATATCCTGAAACTATTATTAGTCCCAATTTCTTTAATGTTTACCAACTCTTAAACTATATTCTAGTTTAAGGTAATCCTAACCAACTTTTAAGCTATGCTAGTTTAAGGTACAATTTTTTTTAAAAAGGTTTTCCAACTTTTAAACTAGCCTTCGCTTAAGGTATAACCAGAAACTGAACAATGGAATGCTCACTGTCGGGTTGGGTGGTATCCCCAAACGAGTGAATCCTCGTGTTTGGTATGCGGATATCGTACATACGTTTTTACCCAAGGCCACCGAATATTCATATTTATACCTGCAATGCCTAATCTAATCTGAGGTCTATCTTAGAAGTATTCTAGATAGCTTTAACAATACAATTCATTTCTCATCAATCCATATATTTTGAATCATAGTTCAAAAATTCATAATCATCTTTTTATTCAGAATATTTATCAAAGCTTAATCATCATAATCATTAATCAATAATATTCATCATAATCCTCAATCAATCTAACATCCAATAACAAATAGTAGCCTATCGTCGAGTGTTAACACCCTATCTTACCGTCATACATAACATAATATTTTATTTGTTAAAAAAATCATTTTTATTTTGAGAAATCATCTTTATATTTCTCATAATTGATTGGTATCAAAAATATGATTTTAGAGCTCTAAAATATAGCATTTTCAGAAATTGGTCCGTTTTCGATATAAATATACATTAATTATGGAAAAATATTTTAAATTTTATAGGATGAAAATATACTAAAAACTATAAATATAATTTCATAATTTTGAAAGTAAACGTTTTAGATTATCTACAATTATTTTAGAAGAAATTATAAATAGGAATAAAATATAAAGAAAGTACAAAATATGAACTCTTTCTATATGTTTTATTCTTATTTAGGGTGATTTATTTAATTTTTATTAAATGTTTTATTTAGATGTTGTTCTTCTAAATACTTATAAATAATCTAAAGCGTTTACTTTTAAATTTATAAAATTATATTTATAGTTTTTTGTATCAAATTGTCATCCTATAAAATTTTAAATAGTTTTCCATAATTAATATATTTTTTATTTCGAAAATGGATCAATTTGAGAAAAAACTCACTTAGAAAGTACCATTTGAAAAAAAGTTGTATAAAATTTAACATTATTTTAAGGGTCATTAATCAGAGAGCCTGAACTGATTATTATTCAGAACTAAGGAGTATCATGTCGATTAAGTACTATTTTAAAATTTACTACTACATTCGTCCCACTCTCTTTGTCCACTTTTGACTTTTGGAACTGTTCATCTAAGCACTTTGACTCATCAAATTCTCTCGATGTGTAAGCCTAAATATAGTCATGTGTGATCTTGTTTGATTTGTCTTAACATATAGATTATTAATATATAATTTCTATAATTTTTTAATATACAAATTAAAAGATAAAATGGATTAAAGAAGTGCATTGGATGGTGTGCCAAAAGGTAAGTGGACAAAGAGAGTGGGACGGAGGGAGTATTCCGTATTTAATGGAAAATGCTAGGGATACTCCAAGAATGTACCCCAAACATTCCCCACCACCTCTATCACCACATAAAAAAGGCAAGAAAAATTTAAAAAAAGTAAAAAATAAAAACAAAATAAATGAATGATAAAGAAGGGGTAGTGTACATTTGGGTACACCCTACTCTAGCATATCCCTTATTTAATTCATACACAAATTTTTGAAGTGAACGGTTCTCATTTAGCCCATCCCCTATCTCGACCACCATTGGATTGGGAATTGGGACTTGGGAGAGAACACCAAACACGATTTCGAGGTTGAATCACAAGCTTTTCACGAACTCCTCTCCCCAGAGCTGAAAGCTTAAATCTTGAATTGCATAAATGGCCACTTCATCCATTTTAATCTCAACCCAATTCCTTCATCTACCCAAGCAGGGAACACGACTGTTCCTTCCTTCTTCATCCTCCAGGACTCATGGATTCGCCAAGAGAGAAATACGCGTACACCACCTGCAGAATCAGAGGAAATTTCCGCTGTTATCAGTGGCTGCGGTGGGTGAAACGCCGGTGGAGGCGGAGAGTGCGGCGGGGGAGGATTCGGCGGAATTCGAACTGTCCAAACAGAAGATTTCGTCTTGGGTTTATTTCTCTGTAGTTCTTGCCGCTGTTCTCTATGCCCTCAACTTCATCTGGATTGATAATTCCACTGGCTTAGGCAAAAGCTTCGTGGATGCTGTTTCCAGTCTCTCAGACAGTCATGAGGTTTAAGCTATCCGTGTAAATTCATTTCTTACCAAGTTAGTGACTGGAAATTAGGAATTCATTTGTGACATGTTTGGGAACTTGAATTTGGATTTTAAATCCGGATTTAGTTCAAATTCTATGGTTGGGAATCTCTAAAAATTGGATTTGGATTTGAGACAAATTTCTCTAAGCTCAATTACAAATTCATATACCTCCCACTGCCAATTGAAATTCAAGAATCTAAATTTTGGAATTGAAATACAAAGAATTGAAATGAAATGCTAGTTGCGGAGCACTACTTGAATTCTTGGTTTTCAATTCTAAAATTTGAATTCTTGGATTTCAAATTGCGAGGGCCGAGGTGGGATTGTATGGATTTGTAATTGAGCTTTGTCGGGAATAAGAAAAATTTGGCCCAAATGCAAATCCAATCTTTTTGGACTCCCAAACATGTTATTTGGGTCAAATTCGAATTTGAAATCTAAATTTAAGTTCCCAAAGGGGCCATAAGGAATTATCAAATAATTGTGATCATAAATCTTTCCCACTTTAAAGGAAATATAAGAGCTTTAATTGATGTCCCAAAGTCGAGTAATCAACATGTAACATAATTTTTAGATACTGTTTTTGAACATATCTGGTTGAATTTACTCATTGTGCCTGTTTTTATTTGAAATTTCTTCTATATAAGTCATGGAACCAACTTACGTTTTCACTTCTTTTTTGTACTGTCCCAATATAATACTCTGTATTCATCTTTCACTCTTAGGCAGCAAGTAATCAAAATATGATTAAAAGCTTACAATGAAACCATCGTGCTGTTGTTCTTTTTTACCTATGCATCAAATGCGTTGGGGATGATGCCATTTCTGATTCTCAGTGTTTTACTTCTTCAGATTGTAATGTTCGCCCTTACTCTAATTTTTGCAATAGCACACAGTGGCCTTGCCAGTTTTAGAGACCAGGGGGAGAGACTCATAGGAGAGCGAGCATTCCGCGTATTATTTGCTGGAATATCTCTTCCATTGGCTGTTAGCACAGTTGTGAGTTCTTAAATATCAATACACAATCTTCTACCGGACATTACTCACAATAATTTTTGTGTTGCTACGTTGATGACTATAAAAATGACTTTCTTCGCCAAATGTTTCAGGTGTATTTTATAAATCACCGATATGATGGGGTGCAGTTATGGCAAGTGCAGAGCTTTCCCGGGGTGCATCAGCTTGTTTGGTGTTCTAATTTCGTTTCTTTCTTCTTCCTCTACCCATCAACATTTAATCTGTTAGAGGTTGCAGCTGTAGATAGACCAAAGATGCATCTTTGGGAAACTGGGATCATCAGAATTACTAGGCACCCCCAGGTATGATATCAAACATCATTCAATTTTACACACACAAAGGGTATATGGAGTACATGCATAGGTGTTATTTCAATGGGTAGCGCAACGATAACCATCCATGGGGATTGAAGAGCTTGGTCTCTTTGTCTAATGTGATGATTGGATCTTATTAGAGTGTTATATTTAAATTTGTTTCTGATATGATACGATATGATTCCAATAAGAAAAATTAATATTCCCTCCGTCCCAAAATGATTTACACTTTCACTATTTGAGCCTACCGATAACTTCCTTTGTTGACTCATGTGTTTTCATTGGTCATTTTATAAAATAAAATATTTTTATCACATCTTGCTTTGTAGAACTCTTGATGTAGTTTTAAAATTTGTAATATGTACTTTTTATTTCCATACCAATTTATAGATGAAATCATTTTTAAAAAGATAGGATTTTACACATTGTTCGAAGAGTGAAATGAATTTAGGATGGAGGGAGTAAGTAATAAGAATAAGTTGAAGTAAACAAGCTCCGAGTCTCAACTGTTAGGTTCAAGATCTATGATGGTCACTCTAAAGTTTATTTAATTGATGTCTCCACTAAAATCTGTGTGCTTTTAAATTATAGTTATACACCATTTGTCCAAAAATGTTCCCACTTTCCCTTTATATGTCTTTCTGAGAAGTTCTTTTTATTTCCTTCAACGAAATAATTGTTTGGTTCATATTAATTCGGAAATTTCCACGCAAGTATGATTCACTATACATAATGTGCTTTTCTTCTTTATAACTTATAGTAAAAAAACTGCTTTGTCACAATGTCATTGCCCAACCCCACCTAGTGGGATAAGGCTTTGTTGTTGTCACGAAATGTCATTGTTTATGTCCATGTCCAGATGGTTGGGCAGGTGATATGGTGCCTGGCCCACACGCTATGGATCGGGAACTCTGTCACTGTAGCAGCGTCCTTGGGTTTGATAGGCCACCATCTTTTCGGGGTGTGGAATGGGGACCGCAGGCTGGCGTTGCGATATGGGGACGGTGCATTCGAAGCCCTGAAGAAGCGGACGAGTGTCATCCCGTTTTTAGCCATTCTGGATGGTCGCCAGAAGTTACCGAAAGATTATTACAGGGAGTTCATGAGATTGCCATACTTGTCCTTAACAATATTGACATTAGGTGCCTACTTTGCTCACCCACTTATGCAGGCTGCAAGCTTCCACCTTCACTGGTAGTGTTAGCTCATATACAGCCCCCCCCCCCCCNCCCAATGGTGGCATGATAAGGTTTATACAACTTAATAATACAATCCATCTTGTTGTAATCGTCACACAAATACCACGTATAAAGCTCGAAATTTGGCTCCTTAAAGTCTTTAAAATGAACTTGATTATGGGCACGTTTGGCAACAGCTTCTGCATTTAGCTTATGTTTTGAAAAATATTGATAGCGTTTGGTTTTAGCATTTGCAAAGATTTGTACAATTAAAAAAAATATATATCTAAAATGCAAAAGCTAATTGAAAACGTTATTCAAGGCTTATGTCATTATCATTGATTTTGTATTGGGCAACCAATCATGATCAACCTGAATTGTTTAGTGCATGTACATCTATATTTAAATTATATTATTTGAAAAAAGGTATATCTTAGAGTTAAAAAAAATATTCATCTAACACTTATTATGTTTCTATTAGAAAACTAAAATAAATAAAGTTATGTTTATAGAATGTCAAAAATTTAGAATGTATACGAGTTCGTGCGAAGTAAGGGCTTAACACTAGTAAGATCTTATTCTTTTCAATGTTCACAATATCCCTAAAGCAAAATCTTGAAAGAACTTAGTTATTGCTGCTATTAATGCAATGAACACCATTAATGCCATGAATTCGTTTTTATAAAATGACCTTCCCAAGTTTTAGGCCCCAATGACCTCATGAAGAATGTGATAGCCCCCCGTGAGTGAGGACAACCCCTAGTCTATTATGACATGCATTTGTTTGAACAATAAATGGAATAGTGAAGTAAGATTGGAGCTCTGGTCATTGCTTGCTTCACAAACAACATTGAATGTGTGTGTTGCATATTCCATCCACTTAAAGGAGCCTTTTTTGAGCAAGAGCTTGTTCTTATCATATTGGATGTGATCTAGTTTTATAAAGGTTTGATCTTATTTGATTGTAGTTATATTCAAAGTTATTTGTGATCTTATTTAGTTCGATCTAGTTTATAAAGACTTGATCTGATCTGATTATAGTTATATTTAAAATTATTTTTTATCTTATTTAGTTTGATATAGTCTGATATGATCTAGTTTGATCTGATTTGATTCCAATAAGAATACGTAATAAGTAATAAAAATATGTTGAAGAAAACAACCTCTGAATATGTCAATGGTTTACTCAGTGTAGGCCAATTCACCATGCTCTCTACTTTTGTTGGATTAGTCGCTACCCCTTGAGTTGAGATAATAATGTGTCTAAAATATTCTAAATTTTGCTCGAAAAAGGTACAAATGGTTCCTTAATAACTGCATCACTATAGTCAAATGACTAATGTGATTATTCCAAGTCCTACTATGCACCAAAATATCACCAAATAAAACTAGAATAAACTTCCTTAGATATGGGACAAAAATCTGATTCATGAGAGTTTGAAATCTAGTAGGAGCGTTGCTCAACCTAAAGGGCATTCTAAGGAACTTATAATATCCTTGATGGGTAACAAAGCTGTTTTTATAAACATCAGAGTCCCTAACTCTTATCTAAAATGTCCATATCTTAAGTCAATTTTTCAAAAGAATCTAGCCCCAATCAATTTCTAACACTTTGCTCCCACCCCGATCAAAAGTGTCTGCTAATATGATTGTTGACTGACCCCACAAACTAACACAAAACACACTTTGTCGTCACTCGTGCGTGCCTAGAGAAATTCTCAGGGGGGGTCACTTATCCTAAAATTATTCTAAATCAAGCTCACTTAACTTTGAAGTTTCTAAGTGATGAACATGAAGATTTATCTAGTTAGTATGAGTAGTATTATTAATCTTTTTGAACTCCTTTTTAATCCATATCAACATGAGGTACTACATTCACCCCACATAGTAATGTAACGTCCTCGTTGCACCCTTATCAAGCTCTTAGACCTTTTTCTCTAAGTGAACTAAGCTCGTTGGCCCGTCATGGTCGCGAGGTTGCTCTGATACCATTTGTAACACTCCACCAGCCCAGCCCCACCTTGGTGAGATGTATCTACTCATAGGATTGTCGACTGGTCCCACAAACCAACACAAGTTTTTTCCGCACACTTTGTGTAACATCCTGAAATATACCTTATAGTTTAATAATGAGTTTTTAATAAAACTTAATTCTAATTTTGTTTGAATTAAATAAAAAATAGAAATGTCACTATTGTGTGAGTATATACTAATGAATGTTTGTCTATGAGTTAATTCTAGCGTTAAATATCCCCACACTTGTTGAACTATGTGTGCAAGCATAGATCAAAGATTGGACGAGCTACGTGGAGAACAGTGAGGCGTCACGTTGGTGCATGACTGAAGCTCTTATGTTACTATATTAAATGTTCTCTTTATTTACTATTCAAAATATTAAATTGTTTGGGTATTGGTTTAGAGGCTTCCGCGACATTTGGATTTTGTTACTCCGATTAACTTATGTTTTATTTTCAAGTAAATGTATGAATGAATATTTTATTTTAAATAATTTTAAATATATTGTGCATGTGAATACGAAATTAGTTGTAACCTAATTCGCTAATCCATTTGTTCGGATTGTGCGGGTTGAGGTGTTACATTTTGGTATTGTAGCATGTGGCTTTAAAAACATTTTTTGGCCAAAAAAGATAATATACATTTTTGAAACAAAGAAAGTAAGTATAAACTTATGAATAAAAAAGGGGTCATCCACAGCTTTGCGACGTCACTACTCCGCGAAGTAACTTGTAATCCATATTATTTGTTTATCCGATAATTGTTTACTTTGATATTTAGTTGATTGATTTGTTAATTAATATATAAAAAATAATACGTGTAATGAGTCCAAAAAGTAAATTATAAAAGTAAGTTGTGATTCACAATTATGTATGATGTCTAGTGTGATTATGTTATTAAAAAAGAACTGTGTCACGTGCTAACCAAGCACGTAGGCGACTCTAAAAAAATTTACTTCGTAATAGACTAATAGTAATAAGATATAGTTGGCCAAAAATATATTGTATCAAGAATCATCTTGTTATAAAAAATGAAAAACGACAATGGATATTTTAGAATTTAATTCGTTAAACTATGTCGGTATTGTCCATAATGAATATTAAAGTCAAATTGGTTTAGATTTGAGTGTGAGAGCATGGGAAATACGTTTGAAGCCCCGGGGCTTCAAAATTTCTCTCTCTGCCACATCAGCTTTAACTTACCTCACAGATTCATTGGAAATGGGTTTGAAGCCCCGGGGCTTCAAACTGGGGCTTCAAATCTTTATTTTTTACATTTTTAAATATACATCTTCTAAAACTAAATTAATAAAATGTAATTAATTTATTATTTAATTATATTGAAACACAAATAATAAAAAAAATACATTCATTAAATTTAAAGAAATTGAAACGACAATAATTTAAAATTTAAAAAAATACATTCATTAAACTAAAAAAACGAAAATAATAAAAAAGATACATTAATAAAAAAACTAAGGTAAATTATATTTCGCCTTGATCTCTCTTTGTCTTTGCTCGTAGATCATCCGTTTGAAACCCGATAACGTAGAAAGGTCGGTTTCCATGATTTTGATCTCGTCCTCCTGCTCCTTTCGCTTCATCTCCTTCTCCTTTAGCTTCATCCTCTCTTCTTCTCGAAGATTGAACACCCAAAGTTGTTTAACCATTGCCCGACCGATTTCGTCGCGAGAAGAAACGGAAACAGAGCCGGACTCTCCCGAACCCAAGGCAATGGATTTTGCCTTCTTTCTTCCGATCGGCCGTGGAATGGGGTCCTCGTGGAAACAGAGCCGGACCCTCCCGAACCCGAGGCAATAAATTTAGCTAAAGAGAATATAATACTTTGTCAAATATTTGATTTTTTGTTGATCACTGGAATGGCAATCAAATTCAGAAGAGGGTATAGACCTGGATGAATGAGAATGTTTTATTTCAGTGTCAGACGAGAATCACATTAGGAAGCAATATGTAAAAACAAAGGGTAATGCGTTTTTCCCATAAAAAAAGAGGGATAGTTAAGAATAAAGTGAAATTTGCACTAAATATGACTAAAACATAATGACTTTCCTAATGTAGGACTTAAACTTTTTTATTCCCTAAATATGACTTAATAATGACCTAGTGGGAGGAATAATGTCCAGTAATGATAGACATTTAGTTGAATAATGACTACTTGATAATGACCAAAGGTCCTACATTGGGAAATAAAAACATATGGTCCTATATTGGGAAAGTCATTATGTTTTAGTCCTATTTAGGTTGGAAACCGATGCAAATGCTTGCGATTCAAATGCTGAGATTACTATTTAAATTGGTTGTTTAACCGATTCAAAAGCCCTTCCTAAAAGTGGCGCCACTTCTGGGAAGGATCTTTTGAATCAGTTGTTAGCTAACAACCGATGCAAATAATATTTTTAAAACTTGTGCAGTTTGTATGACCCACCACAATTGCAATTTTGCACAGAATTCACAGAACCAACAACAACAACAACACAATCCAACAACAACAACACAACCCAACAAGAGAATTATATTCACAAAACCAAATTAAACAAAACCAACAAACCAAAAAAAGTAAACATTTACATCACTTGTTCACCTAAACCTAAAAAATATAAACATTTACAAGCTAAGCTATAACACCACAATTAAGAGTCATACAACAAATAAACTACATTCCTCTAAAAGTCATACAACCAACTACACAATGCAACACAAAACTTACACTGGTTCATCAAGAAAACCCCCTGCCAAAAACTCTCTAACCTCGTCTAATTCGACTACGGTGTAGGGAGAAGTAGAATGAAACACCTACAATACGAAAAAAACATACAACATAAACTTTAATAATATATGAAAAAGAAAATGGTGATGAATACTTTATTAGTTTCAAAACACACTAAAATAAACTTACATCGTATAACGGTATTGAAGAGTGAGCACATACACACAGTGACGATGAGCCATAAAATTGCATAGTATAATATCCACACTGTACCCCCTGGTTGTTGGGGTACTCCGGGAACATCAATTCAATCCGGTCGAGCCTTAAGCTGAGGCATGTGCTATTCCTGAAGTAATCGCGAAGACCTTTAATACATATTTAAAAAACAAATCAATAAGAAATAAATTTCTTAACAAATAAAGAATTTCATCAATAATTTTAATAAAACTCATATTAATACTGACTTTTGTACGAAAGTCTTCACTTTCATTTGCTTATGCCCTCCGGTCGCGTTGAGTGAGTTAAAAAATACACTTTGTTTTCAAATAAGCGTATTATAACTAACACCCAATGATGCCTACAATTGAAAAAACGTTATCCATTAGCCTCATAATCAATATAAAAAATCAAAATACATATTAGTAAATAGTTTATAAAACATACGATTTCAAGAGATATAACGACATAAGAATCCAGGATCGCGATATATAGGACTGGAGTGCTCTATCCAGATACTGGCGATCTCTATAATCTACCACGTACGCCGTGTTCTCCGGATATAACAACCCGACAGTCGTGATGTCGCGCTCCATCATATGATCGTAAAATAATCTAGCTATTTCACAAGTAAATAATAATTACAATTCTAACAAATAACTATAACATACATTGCATAAACTCTTGTACAATTAAAACATGATTACATTTTATTCGTACGTAGTGCTTGGTATACCTCAAGAAAACAATGATGTTGGTCTGGTCGACTTCCTCCCATCACATGAGCTCACATATAGTTTCCAATCACATCATCAGCTTCGTCTCTTCCGGATTGAGCATGCACTCGGGATTGAGAATGACACTGATGGTAGGCAAAATAGATGTGCGTGCCACTGACACAACTCTCTACATCTTGGCCCAAAACAAGCGTACAAGCTCCGGTCAACAACATCCTATACGGGAGAGCTAGGAGTAGCAGTGGGGCGTACGCCGCGAATAGGACGAGGTTTGCTTGATGAGAAGTCGCCCCGTCGAGTCGTGTGCACCGGGAGCTACGAATATTTGCAAAAAAAGACATGTGAAACACGGACCAAATGATGTTGAATAAAAAAGAACTAAATTTATTAACTTCTTACATTTCCAAGGCCCACCAACAACTTTGGTCATGCGACGAAGCTCCCTCGCAATCTGCGACAGTCTCTATGTGCTTAGTCGGATAAACAATGGGATATTCACCCATTCCAGGAAGCACCAAGGTCATAACGACCTTAACCTGGCGGGGAAGGAGGGGAACACCATGCACTACATCTCCCGGTGCACGTGGGAAAACCGATCCATGTGCCACTATATAATCGGTTGGATCAGAGATCCTCAAGTAACAAGCAGTAACCTACAAAAAAAATTAGTTAACTAATGTTGGAAACAAGTAAGCGCAAACCTAACTTGAAACCTACATTAAAAAATATATGTACTTCAGTGAGATCGGCGAAATCAACAAAATTAGTAGACGCCTTAAAGTATGGGGTGGATGTGGGAAATGAACTCGATCAAGAAATTAAAGTATTTAAGAATTGAATAAAAAATGATCTTTCATCCAAAATATACAAAAGTCATTTTCTCCTTTTAGAGAAATTATTTTTCCAAGAAAAATTTATTTTTTCTACCTTATTAGTTAAAATCAAATCAAATCATACTAAATTAAATCTAATCAGACCAGATTAAATTCAATTAAACTAGAATAGGTCAAATGAAAATAACTATAAATATAACTACAACACACTAGATCTTTTAAAAAATCGGGTCAGATTTAATTAGCTCAGAGTCATAAGCCTAATTGATAAACCAATAATTTATTACAATGGGCCGGCCCAATGTGTCACTTTGAATGGTTGGCAGATTCCGAAATCCTTTTTATTTTTATTTTTAATAATCAATCCACGGTTTCACGGGGACGAAACGAAGGCTCGTCATCTAGGGCTTCTCCTTTGATCCCTGCCGTAGTGAAATCCTTCTCCAGTTCAATCCTTTCTCTACCTCTGTGGCATTCATGGCGAACGGTATGTGCACCTCTCCTTAGCTAATGAGCTCTATGTTTTAGTTGCGCCGCCGTGCGCGGACGACTTATGGGGTCGTTTGGTGCAGCACCGGCGCGGTCGTTTTTGCAGGCGGTGGCGGCTACGGAAGAGACTGCCGTGCCACCTCTCAGAGTCGTTCAGATTGAGGGACTGGTGATCTCCTTTCCTGTTCTAGTGTATCATTCCATATGTACTTATCTGTATCATGCGGTTGTTAGATTTTTCTAATTTTATTTCATATAAATGAACAATTTTAAGAGTTAGTTTTTGGTTCTGCATTTAAGAGTTAAAAATACGAAGTATATGTAATTCAATTTTTTGGAGCACAGTAAGAAATCTTTTAAGGTTTTCCTCGGTTGAACCAAGTTACATTTGATTATCTGAAGTGTGGATTCAGTGGAATGAATAGTTGTATTGTGCTGTTTTCAGATGAACATTCTATGAGAAGGATGGTTATGTTCATTGCTTCTTGAACTTTTTGTATCCAAATTGTATAGGTATATAAGCTTATACTGAAAAATGTGGGTAGGGCATACACACGTTTTGATGCGTTCATGCACCACATTTTTGTGACACTATATATGATATAGATGCTCCCTTGATGTGTTTGTGCAATAAAAACATCCTACTTAAAGGTAAGTTATTGAGATGAGAATGCTTGGGCATGCCGGTGTGGATGTGTGGACATACTCAGATGAATGCAGTTCAAAACAACAATATGAGGTACAAGTTGGATGTGGCTTCTGTGTAGGATAAGATGCGTGATGTGGTTTGGGCACATTTATAGTAGTACTGATGCTCCTATGAGGAGGTGGAAGAGGTTGGAGGTAGGGAATTAGAGGAGGGGTAGATATAGATCATAAAGACTTGGAGCAAGGTTATAGTCTGGACTGCATTTTCTTCTGCTCATCGAGGACATAATACTAGCTAGGGCTGTTTGGTGGCTGAGGATTAAATCGGCATGGTAGGCCTTGATTGGCAACTTTTTGAGTAGCAAAGATACCTTTCTTTTGTCTATGGATTTTAGAGTTAGCTAGGCTCTGTGTGGTGTTTGCTTTCTGGCCTTTTGTTTGTTTGCAGCATTTTCTCCTCATCTCCTTCTCTCTTATGTGTCTATCTACACTTGTTGGATTGTGCAAATATGTGTCTTTTATGTTTGAGCTGGTCTTTTGGAAACATTTTCTCCACCCTTTCTTAGGGTAAAGATCTGCTTACACTTAGTCACCCACCCTCAAACGTCATTCGTGGGATTTACTGGATAGTTGAAGTAGTACTTTTTGTCTATGTGTGTGTACTGACCTTGCCTTTATATTTTCCCTTTCGAAAACACATTAGGGGAAACACTTTGTCTCATAAGTTGATGAGTGCTTAGAAATATGAAGCTTCAAATTCTTATTAAAGACATATATATTCTAGATTGAAGTGTATAAAATGGCAGAGTGATAAAAATAAAAGGCAAGAGTCACTTATGGTCTATATATATTTGTGGCTTCCTCAGCCCTCAAATGTGTGAAGCCATATTCATAGAAGTAGAGCTTTATGTATAGATTCTAGCGTATAAAGTAACCTTTGAATGATAATAAATGGCAGCATTACCTATAAAATGATCAAATTTAGATTTATCTATGCATATAACACAAGATTTAAATGAAGACTCTAATTTTGTTAGCATAGACATCATTAGCTCTCTTATGTTATTCTAGCATGTTCTATCTGAATCTGATGCTATTCAGCCTATAACCTTGAGCTTGATTTTTGCTGAGAACAGGTAATTTTGAAGATAATTAAGCATTGTAAGGAGTTTTCGCCAGCTTTAGTCACTGGACAACTTCTTGGATTAGATGTTGGAAGTGTCTTAGAAGTTACCAACTGTTTTCCCTTCCCGGTATGTTCACGCATAATTTCCATAAGATCTGCTGTTTTATAATTTCGTAGATCCCTTTTATTTGAAATTTAAATGAATGCTAGATTCGGGAGGAAGATGAAGAGATAGAAGCTGAGGGTGCTAATTATCAGCTTGAAATGATGAGATGCCTGAGAGAGGTTAATGTTGACAACAACACCGTTGGATGGTAAGGATGTTTTTCCTTGTGGCTTAGTTTTGACCTGTAAATTTTAGTGGTATTATCTGGCGGGATAATATGCTACACAAGTCAAATGCATACACTTCAATTTCAAGTGATTTATGAAGTATGCAAAGTTCATCTAACCCTATTTCTTCTAGGTACCAATCAACTTTATTTGGCTCATATCAGACGGTTGAACTGATTGAGACATTCATGAATTACCAGGTTTTGACTCTCCGAATTGTTTTTTAATGGTTAATGTTTCTTTTGTTCCTTTAATAATAATACTACGTATTACTTGACTGATAGACATACATCGCAGATTTATATATATAAGGTCTCCAGTAATGATTATAGACATACATCGCTTTAATAAATAAGGTCTCCAGTAATGATTATTGACACTTTTAGCTGTAATTGCAGGAAAATATAAGACGGTGTGTATGCATTATATATGATCCTTCGAGATCCAATCAAGGTATTCTGGCTCTGAAGGCCTTGAAGCTTTCTGATTCATTCATGGACCTGTACCGGAATAATAATTTTACCGGAGAGAAGTATGCACATTCTAACTTTTGTTATATTCTTCCACTCTCTTTTCGCATTAGTACAGCCCTTTGTCGATATTTTATTCACTCATACTATTTACTCTAAATTATTGTTTACATTTTAAGGCTGAGGGAGACGAATCTTTCATGGGTGGATATCTTTGAAGAGATACCTGTATGTTCATATTCCACTGCATCTCAAGTTGTTTTTTTGCTCTATCTTATTGAACGCATCATACTATGTTAAGATGTTATCTCTACAGCTAATGATAAGTCACTGTTATTCTCTCCAATTTTAAATTTTTGAATAAATCTAATTTGTAAATCCCGCTTTTTGAAAAACCACCTCATCCTGAAATGCTATTTGTGGTTGTCTTAAATTTATGAGTTACATATCTCTACCTTTTGGATTTAATGGCCTGTTTTCTTCCAAATGGATTTGCAAGATCATTCACATTAGTTTGTGGTCTGGTAATATAAGATATGCATCTGTTTGTAATAATTGTATGTGATTTTTTTGTTTAAAACAAAGAATTCAGACTGCTAAAATTATAGAATGTCATCATTGGCTACGTGTCATGACATTTTCTTATCTGATCTCTGAGATTTATCTACAATCCAACAGATAAAAGTTTCCAATTCTGCCCTTGTCAGTGCCTTCATGACTGAATTGGAACCGGATACGCCGGTAACCCAGGTAATCCAAACGTTTCCCTTCCTGATTTTCAGTGGATTGATACCTCTTTTGGAGAATGGTTACATGGAACTTTATTACTTCTTCCAGTGTGATTTTGATCGGCTGAAGTTATCAAGTAGTCCTTATTTGGAGAGAAATGTGGAATTTTTGGCTGAATGTATGGATGACCTATCAAAGCAGCAGCAGGAGGTTAGTGACTCATTATTGGGCTGAAGGTACTCCCGTTTGGGGATACTATGTTGCTCAGTCACACCTGACAAGATTGGTTTTACATTTGCAGTTCCAATATTACTATCGCAACCTTTCACGCCAACAATCGCAGCAACAAGCCTGGCTTCAAAAAAGAAGGTAATTTGTTTCTGTTGATCTGTACTCTCCACCCCAAGAGGATGTGATTGTTTGACTTTTCACGGTCTCCAATACAACACTTAATAACTACTCCCTCCGTCCACCTAAGATCTTCTCATTTTGACTTTTTACGGTTTTTAAGGAGAGTTGAAAAAAGGTGAAAGTTTACCATAATACCCTTAATGAAAATGGGTGGAGTGTATTAAATGAGGTGTGTAAGGTGTAATAAATAAAGTAAGTGGGGGTAGTTGTGGTATTTCAATTGTTAAAAAATGAAATGAGAAGATCTATTGTGGACAAAGAAAAAGGGCTATTGGGAAGATCAATGGGGGACGGAGGGAGTATTTTTTATCATAGTAAATATTCTGGAGTATTAAATTTTGAGTTTGCAGGGCCGAGAACATGGCACGTAAAGCTGCAGGAGAAGAGCCACTACCCGAAGAGGATCCTGCTAATCCCTTGTTTAAGCCAATTCCCGAGCCATCTCGATTAGATAGCTTTCTAATCACGAATCAGATTTCGAACTACTGCAATCAAATTAATGGGTATGTTACGTTTCTGAGAGCTAATTTTTATCTTTAACTGCTGTAGGTTTCTATTTGTTTGTAGAGGAGTTTTAGGTTCTTGTGCATTTGAAATTCCCTTACATATCTATTAGGGTGACTGCTCATTCAGATGTTTTAAGTTTTCACATGCATTATACCCCATCCAAAATTTTGAAAAAGTCCAAAATAATGTACAACCCAATTCTTTTGACAACTTTTGTTGTCATATTATGACAATATAAGCACTTTTGGTGTTCCATTGGGTCCAAAAGTGGTCCTTACCCCTTTAACCCCATCCTAAAACAAATCAGCCAATCAGCAATTTGGGGGGGGCACTATTTGCCTAATGGAGCACTGTTGTTGTCCCAAATGCTATGTTGTCATAATATGCCAACAAAAGTTCTTGCCAAAAGAAGCCTACTGAATAATGTATACGTAGTATTAAATTCTACATAAGTCTCTGCATTTGAAGTACTCACATACAAATAATGTATGTAAAATTATACTTGGTACATACATTATATCTGGATACAATATGAAAGAAGTAAAATGCAGGGACATTGAATTCTTAGATTAGGAAAAGCTGAATAATCAATGTGTAACTTATTACTCCCCTGTCTTAATAAAAGTCTTGCTTTAAAACATGGTTTTTTTGACCCAAAAAAGAGTCATTTAAACAAACGAAGCCCATTTCCACCATAGTTAATGCCTTAGTCCAAAACAATGCCCAAATGAAGTTGTGAGTATTAAATTTAGCTAACCAACAAATGATACAGAGTATTATGAAATATAAATTACTCTGTTGGTGATACGGAGTATATTGATTATAAATTACCAAAACCAAAATGTTATACTAGCATGAGACAACAATTTGAACTGTTAAAACATTATCACATTTTTCCGTTATGAATCTGCTCACCTAAAAATCTAAAATCACCAACCGGATACACGGATTTGGTGGATCCTGTTTTGGTCAATATGAGATATTCGGGTCCCAAACTGGAAGATGAGCAGGTTGAGTACATTCTACTTGATGGAGTGAATAAAGGTGACTGTTATTATATGTGTTGCAGAGTTGCGGGCCAGAGCTTTAACAGACTCTATTTGATGAAGGCTCTGCGTGATGATTAAAACGAAGTACTCGTTGCGACTTGTCGAGCCTGCTCATTTTGATTTCTCATCTGAGTTTTGGAAACAATGTTATGTACTTGAGACAAATATCTGTACTTTGTAAAAGCCGCATGGCATATTTTTTTTTTGGTAAAGATTTTTGTTGTTAAATCTATTGTTGGCATTTGTATGCAAATTGGTTGTTCTTAGAAGCTGGTAATCTTTCATTGTTCTTGCAGCTGAAAAATTTGGAATCTAGAATCTTTTAGCTTCAGAAGCACTCATTTGTGGCGATTGTGTGAGCCATAATATTTTATTGTTGAAGGAAGCTATTCTCTGAATTCCTATATAAAAATAAGAGTTATATATGCATAAATAGTTATTTTGGTTTTCCATAAATAGTTAAGTAGTCTATAGCTTTAAAAATTACGAAATGGTCTTTCATTTAAGGAAAATGTGAAGCACGCAGAACACATATGCGTGCGGTGTGAAAATGTGAAATACTCCCTCCGTCCACAAACAAACTTCTCATTCACTATTCACAGGGTTAAATTTTATTCGCTTTCTTGGTCTATTGTCGTCACCTATTTTATAAAATAATATAGTCATATGTCATCTTTAGTTTTGTAGATCTTTTGATATAGTTTTTTAAATTGTAATTTTTATTTTTAAATTTTACACCATTTTTCTTATAAAATGATTTGAAAAAAATTTTAGTCAAACATCGTAATGCGCAATGAGAAATTTATTTGTGAATGAAGAGAGTATGTAACAAAAAAAGAAATTAATCTGATGAAATTATGCTTGTTTTCATGGTTAAAGGCAAGAAATGGTCTTTTGTATCCCCTTTGTCCTAAAATGTTTTCTCAGTTACTATTTACACGATTAAACTTTAATTATTTTCTTTACCTATTTTTGTTAGTTATTTGATAAAATAATATAGATTTGTCACCTCTTGTTTGTAAAACTTTTGATCTATTTTTAAGTATATATAAATTTTATTTTTTGATTTTACATCTACAATCAAATAAGTTGAATAGAAAATAAAGTCGGTCAAATCTCATTAACAGAAACGAGAAGAATGTTTTAGGACGGAAGGAGCAGCTCTTATATCACACGATATAACACGAGAATAAAGCTATTTGAAAAACAAAATAATCTCGAACTCACATAGAACATTGTATTATAGTTTCTAAAAAGCATTGTAGAAGATAACTTGTGAGAGTTAAATCAAAAGATGAAAGATATTGTACTATTCAAATTTACACGTCACAACTGAAACTTCATATTAATCTTTTTTTACAGTAATTTTTATTGTTACATAATTCACGAATTCTGTAATAATGGAATCGATTATGCATGAAAATTACAGAGTAAAATCGAGTTATTGAAGTTAAAGCAATATGAACAATCATTTCGAAAAAAAAAAAACAATCATTTCGGGATACAGAGAGTATAATTAATTACCAAACAGAAAAGAAAACAAAAAGCGAGTATGTACTCCGGGGCATATGAATTGTTTCAATCATGTGTGGGAGGGAAGCTGGGTGATGATGACCTGCAAGATCTGGACCACTTGAGCCATGGAAGGCCTGCTTGAAGGCATCTGAGAAGTACACACCAATGCCAGCTTCAAAACCGGCAAGACCTCGTCGTCCGGGTAGGCTCCCATGACCGGGTCGACGCAGTCCAACACGTTCCCTTGCTCGAGCAACGCCCTCACGTGATCGTTCATAATGACCACCGCGCCCCCCTCCCCGCGTTCAACGGGCCGCCGGCCGGTCACTAGCTCGAGTGCCAGCATCCCGAACCCGTACACGTCGCACTTCTCGTTCACCCTCGTGCTTTGCGACGCGAGTTCCGGCGCCGCGTACCCGGCCGCCGCCGCCCGGAGCCGCCCGCTCATCGCGTGCACGTTCACGAGCCCGGCGAGGCCGAAGTCCGAGATTCTCGGGTCGAGGTTCTCGTCGAGTAGGACGTTGGTGGGGTTCACGTTGTAGTGGACGATCGGGGGCTGGCACGAATGGTGCAGGTGGGCCAGCCCCTTGGCCGTTCCCAGTATGATCTCGAACCGGGCCGGCCACGCCAGGGGCGGGGCCCCCGTTTCGTGGAGCATGGATTCCAGATTCCCTCCGGGGACGAAATCGGAGACCAATAGCTGCAGGTGTGGGGTCCAAAAGTACCCTCGTAGCGGGACCAAATTCGGGTGCCTGGCTTTGCCCAACGCCCGAACCTCTCGGTCGAAGTCCTCTGGATGCTGCAACACCTTTGTTGCTCCAAGCTTTTTTATCGCCACGCATTCGCCTCCCAAAGGAGCCTTGTAAACCGTCCCGAAAACGCCTTCCCCGACTTCCGACGCTTTGTTAAGGACGGACTCGAAGGTGCTACCGCTCAACCAATCACGGGACGGTTTTGGGTCGAGCAGTATCAGCCTTCCGGCGTCCACACTGCGGCGGGACCTCGAAGAGCCCGAGCACGTTCTTTCCAATCCGCCATTCTCAGCCAAAGAAAGCCTTCTCTTGACTGAGGCATTCAGGATGGTGATAACCATAACCCCGAGCACAATGATTCCGGCAGCGGAGATGGCAACAATGGCTGAAACACTGAGGAATGTGTTGTGTCTTGATGATCTCAATGGCCCACTATCACCATCTTCATCACCATCACCATCATCTGTGTGGTTCCTGTAACCGAAGGGATCAATCACTATAGGCTTTGCTGCATTCATTCTACATGGTCCTTTCAACAAGGGTGAACAGATCCCAAGATTCCCCTCTATTGCACTCTGGTCTAGATTCTGGAACACGCGCCCGGGCGGAAGCCGGCCGACGAGCCTGTTGTGGGACACATTCACTGCCAGAAGGTTTTCCAGGTGGGAGAGCTGTGGGGGTATTTCCCCACTCAGTTGGTTAAACTCCAGCTTCAGAATCTTGAGCCTTGACAGCATTGAAAAGGACTTTGGTATGGAGCCACTCAAATTGTTGTGTGACAAGCTCCTGCATTTTGAAGTAAACAATAACATTAATTCAGGGTTTGGGAGAGATGAATTTCTCATTTTCAAAGACTGAATTCTCTACTATCACATTTTCAAAGTGTTTGGTGAACTAAGGGGAAAATAGTTTTGTGGGAAGCCATATTCGTAGGTGTCTACATTTGTCTCAAACATGACATTAACTCCAATGGGAGGGGTATATGAAAGGTTAAAGAGGAATATTTGTGATATATACCTCTTTTCATTAAAAATCACATTCCAATGGGAGAGGTAAATAAGAAGGTATTATACCTTCTTCAATTTTGAAGAGGTATCTTTACCTTCTTCATTTGGGGAGGTATATCAATTTTCCCACCTTTTAAATTTATTTCATCAATTACTTTAGTTATTGTATTTTTGCTTGAATGTATTATTATAAATTATTAATTTGTATCTTTGTCATTGTAAAACTTAACGAGTCAAGAATTAACAAAAAAAGGGATACTTTGTTTTTTAATCTTGCACTCTGTATTTTTAAGTTTTTTCTGTTCGGGTATTTAAAGTTCACCAAGGTTCCCATGACATTGGGAACCAATGTCATGGGAACCTTGCCCTTTATAGTTTTACATGTGTAATTAGACATAATGTATATTTAATTATTTCAAATCTGACATTCTATTTTTTTCCCCAATAAATTAGTTGTATTTCTATAAAATCTTTAAAATTTAAAAATTTAATCAAGAAGAAACAAAGGCAACAAACCTCAAATTTACCTCCCCATGATTTTTTTAAGAATGTATATTTTCTTTTCTAATAATTAAAATTTGATTTAAGAAGGTAAATCAACTAATTTTTTTTCCCAATAATGTATGGAGATGGATTTTTTCCCTCTTTTGCCTTTTGATTTACCTTCCCCCATTGGAGTTGCACACTTTTTGAAAAGCTAAACTTGATCATTTGGAGAGGTAAATAAGATATATACCTCTCTCCAAGACACCTCTTACCATTGGGGTTGCTCTTATATATTAGCAAATGTGAAGTGTTGAAAGCAAAACTTGTAGTAAAACTCACAGCAAGAAGAGAGAGGAGCAATTCCCAAATTCATCAGGAATGCTGCCCCTCAATGAATTCCGGTCAAGCTGGAGGATTCTGAGGCTGCCCGAACCGCAAACACTCCCCGGGATCGACCCCCTCAAAGCGCAATTTCGAAGATCCAACGAGACTAGCCCCCGGGAGTACCCCACTTCTGGGATAAACCCAGAGTGGAATCGATTCCACGAGAGATTCAGATATCTGAGCCTGGAGAATAGCCCCATTTCTTTGGGGATGTTTCCAGTGAGATTGTTCATAGAGAGATCCATCACTCGTAGAGTCTCGAAAATCTTGCCCGAACCCGATGGAACCGGACCGTTCAGACCGTTTCGCGAGAAATCGACCACTTCTACCCCAATCCCGAAGAGTTCTTCAGGTATTGTACCACTCAGCAGATTTCCCCTCAGCTGAAGCACGGCCAACGCCGTGCAAGAAGCCAGGGACTTTGGAATCTGACCTTCTAACTTGTTATTGTTCAATGTCAAATGTCGCAATGATTTCAACCCTCTGAGTGAATCTGGAATCGGCCCGTCCAATGCATTGCCGGAGAGATCGAGAAATTGCAGGCTAGACATGTTTCCAATCCATGGAGGAAATGGCCCGTAGAGGCGGTTATGGGACAGGTTCAGAAACGTGAGGGATTTAAGCCTCTGAAGAGATGCGGCATCTGAGAGTTTACCGGTGAAGAAGTTCCTGCTCAAATCTAGCCGGAGAAGATGGGGATTGAGCCCCAATTGAATCGGGAATTCGCCGGAAAATCTGTTCCCCTGTACAGAGAGCTCTTTCAGATTGTGTAGATATGGCAGGTCGGAGGGCAGCGATCCGGAAAACTCGTTGTTTGAAACATCTAAGAATCTTAGCCTCCCCAACCCCCTTATCCCGCCGGAAAACCTCAGGTCGCCGGAGAAACGGTTGCTAGACAGATTGAGGTGGTTCAGCAGCGCGCATTTCGACAGCGCGCTCGGCGCCGGACCTTCTAGGTCGTTCTCCGCCAGCGACAAAAACCGGATTGAACTCCAATTTTCTAACAAATCGTCGGGGAGAGTTCCGGCCAGTCGATTCCGGGAGAGATCAATAAATCGGATCGAGATCAAATTACTCAGGGACGACGGAATCGTCCCGGAGATACTGTTCCTGCTGAGATTAAGTATTCTCAGGCGCGGCAACAGCCCCAACCCCGGAGGAATCCCGCCGCTGAAGTTGTTCCCGGACAGCGACAGAACTTCGAGAAACTGCAGCTTCTCCAACCCCCGCCCGATCTTCCCGGACAATCCCAAACCGCCGAGGAAGATCCGGTCGACCCGCCCGTTCCCCGGGCTGCACCGGACGAAGCTCCACGCACAGGGAGAC